CATGTGCTCGTCGGCGTTCTTAACCTCGCTATCCTCGCCCTCGGGGTCGGCCCGCTCCGGCACGTCGGTCGAGGGAACCTTGTCGGGCACCTCGTCTGAGATCCCCTCCGCCTCGGCTGCCTCGATCGGCTTCTCGACGAAGGTCTCGGACTCGTCGTCGCCGCCGCCTGACAGCGGACAGGGCAAGGGGGGTCTCCCTCTCTCCCCCTCACTCTCTCTTACACGCTCCATCCCTCTCTCTCCCTCTCTCTCCCTCCCTCGCTCTCTCTCTCTCTCTCTCTCTCTCTCTCTCTCTCTCGCTCTTCCTCCCTCTCCCTCCTTTTGTCTCTGTCAACCGCCTGCGCCCTGTTCATCGCCAGCATCGCGCCAGCCAGAAGTCGGGCGCACAGGCTTGCGGCTGCCACCTCCGCTCCCGTTGCCGATATATCGGTTCAAGAGGGAGGGAATTGGCAAACAAGGGGGAGGAGGAGGAGGGGGAGGAGGAGGAGGAGGAGGAGGAGGAGGAGGAGGAGGAGGAGGAGGAGGAGGGAGTAGGAGGAGGAGGACGAGGAGGGGGAGACTGAGGACGATCGAGAAGGCCGCCTTGGGCGAGCAACGACATATGTACATGTGCGCCCTCCGCGGTCTTGCCTGCGCGAACGTCCGCGTTGGCGCGCACTCCAGCGGGAACTAACCGCGTACGTGTACATATGTTGCTGGCCCCTGAGGGCATAATGACGATGGGTGAGCGTAGAGGGGGATGGGAGGAGGGGGGAGAAGGAGAAGGAGTGGCGGGAGGAGGACAGGGAGGGAACGAGGGGGATAAGGAGTTTTAGAAGGATGAGGGGGATGAGGAGGGGGATGAGGAGGAGGAGGAGGAGGAGGAGGAGGAGGAGGAGGGGTAACATCGAAACAGGGGAGGGGGATCAGCAATTTCGAACACGGTCGTAGACGACCACGTGCCAGCTGCCCACTCCCAGCGACAGTGAGGCATGCGCTGGCACTCAGACACGCACATCCACGCCCAAGATCAAGCTGGCCTCGTCCATGGCCCACATGATCGGTGGCAACTTGGGGGATGATCGTTAAAGTTGTGCGTGGGTGTGGGGGGGGGGGGTAGTGCGATATGTCTAGCTCTCACCTCGAGGTCCTCATCTTCCTCCTCCTCCTCCTCCTCCTCCTCCTCCACCTTGTCGTCGTTTGTACCCTCGGTTGGTTTAGAAAAGTTCCCCAGGACCCCAGCAGAAAGCAGGTGACTCCATTGCGTTTTCCTCGTCCGAGCGGAACGCTGAAACCCAGGCGGAATCCAGGCTGAAAGCTTTGGCCCGCGACTCTCCCTGGTGGGTTGCACATCTGGATTTTCCTCGGGGCAAGGGGATGGGAGAAGAGCTCACTGGGGGGGGAGGAGGAGGGGCAGAATAATGAGGATGAGGCGGGGGACGAGGATGAGGATGAGGAGGGGGAGGATGAGGAGGAAACACACACCTCCCAAATGGGGAGGGTGGCACGGACAAGGAAAACGACGCTATGTCAACATTGAATTTGAAGCACGGCTCACCTCTGAGTCGCTCTTCTCGCCATCGTCATCGTACTTGTTGCCGTCGTCGCAGCACTCCTCCACGGTGGACGGCTTCTTCATGATCTTCGGCCTCTTCTGCGGGGTGATGTCCACGCTGTCCTCGGACGCTTCGGCAGGCTTGGCCATCGCCTTCGACTTGGGCGCCGAACCCGTCGCAGCCCGCTTGCCCTTCAGCGTGGGCGTGATCTTCTCCTTGGCGTCGGCGCCGCCGTCCTCGATGATCTCCTTCTTGCTCATCGCGGCGATTCCTTTCTTAGAGGGCGGCGGGGCTGAGCCTTCATCCGAACTGCTCTCGTCGCCCTCGCCCTTGGCAGCATGCTTCTCCACGTTCACCTTCTGGCTCTGGGCGTCCGAGTCCTCCGAGGCTGCGGCCGCAGCTGGTCGCTTCATGGCGGTCTTGTCCTTCTTGATCTTCTCCGTGGTGTCCTTCTCGCCGTCGTCCTTGACCTTGTACAGCGAGCAGGCGTCGCAATCCTTGAGCATCTTCCGTTGGATCTCTTTGATCCCGAACTTGTCGAGCTCGCCCTTGGCGAAGATGTCGCACAACTTCTGTGCAGTCTCCACGGCCACCGTCTCGTTGTCGAAGTTCTTCACGTCGTGCTGCGTGACCTGTCGTTTGGATGCGTCGGCCTTCCGATGCTCAACCACGACCAGCTTGTTCGTTTCCGTCTTGCCGACGGGCTTGTCGTAGCGAAACTTGACCACGGCCACTCCGTCCGATGCGTGATCCACCATGTACAAGTGCTTAGATTTGCCACCTCCTGCTGACTTGGGTTTTGAAACGCTGCGGAATTCAGCAGTCGTCACCTCAGGGCACGGCCGCTTCTCCTTGTCGGTGCCCGTGCCGAACACTGCAATCACATTCGGATCCGCAGACAAATCAGGACGGAGGAGGAGGATGGAGGAGGTGAGCAGGATGGAGGAGGTGAGGATTGGGAAAGCTGGGCCTCTGGAAAGGCGGGTCTGCATGGAGGCTGGAGGCGAGTTCTGATGTTTACCGGCTGGCCGGGGCTGGTCTTGACGTCTGCCTGGGTGTTCTTGGAGTGTACGTTTTCGTGGGGTGCGTGTACGTTTTCGTGGGGTGTGTGTACGTTTTCGTGGGGTGCGTGTACGTTTTCGTGGGGCGCGTGTGCGTTTTCGTCGGGCGCGTGTACGTTTTCGTGGGGCGCGTGTACGTTTTCGTGGGGCGCGTGTACGTTTTCGTGGGGTGCGTGTACGTTTTCGTGGGGCGCGTGTACGTTTTCGTGGGGTGCGTGTACGTTTTCGTGGGGTGCGTGTACGTTTTCGTGGGGTGCGTGTACGTTTTCGTGGGGTGCGTGTACGTTTTCGTGGGGCGCGTGTACGTTTTCGTGGGGCGCGTGTACGTTTTCGTGGGGCGCGTGTACGTTTTCGTGGGGCGCGTGTACGTTTTCGTGGGGTGCGTGTACGTTTTCGTGGGGCGTGTGTACGTTTTCGTGGGGTGCGTGTACGTTTTCGTGGGGTGTGTTTACGTTTTCTTGGGGCGTGTGTACGTTTTCGTGGGGTCTGTGTACGTTTTATCGGTGAGTGGGAGGTTTTTTTGGTTTCATGGGGATTGTTTTCGAGTGTGAGTGTCGATCGGACGTTAACTCACTCGTTTTCTGTTTCAGCCCCCTTGGAACCTCGTCGTCGTCGTTCTCGCCCTCCTCCATGTTGGTCGCCCACTCCTTCACGGATTGTCCGACCTTCACCCTGTATGCGCACATCTCCTGGTCGCAGTACCCGCACGTGTAGATGGGCCCCGTGCATGCCTAGGGTTGGCAGGGGGCGAAACTTTAATATCGTTCCCTCCTTTCCTCATCTACTCCTCTTCCCTCTCCTTCCATGCCCTCCGTCATCCTCCGTGCTTGTTCATTCCTCTCCCCATTCCATTCTTCCTCATTCCTTCCTCCCTCCCTCATTCCTCCCTCCCTCCTTCATTCCTCCCTCCCCCATTACTCCCTCCTTCATTGCTCCCTCCCTCATTCCTCCACCTGTTTCCCATCCTTCATGATCATGTCAGCCGTCCATTGGGAATCATATCATTTGCTTTGCAAGCTCCCCGCCGCCTCCAGCAGCTTGGTCATCCATTTCGGGGGCTTGTCAGAAATCTCGAAGCGCGCGTACTGGGAGAGCAGGGTGCGGAGTTTGGGGTTATTCTCCTCGGCATATTGCATGGCCTTCTTCTGGTTATACTTCAGGTTGTCAACTACAGTCTGTGCGATGGCATATAAAGACGAAGTTTTCCCGAGGAGGAACGTGCCGCACGTTTTCTTGACACTGGCAGCTAACTCGACATGTCCCTCGAGGCCTCCGCGGTCCACTGCCGCTTCTCCCATGGCCCCTGAAAAGTCAACGAATGAGGACGCCGTCAGGTACGGCGAGATCGCCTCCTGGATCTTCTTCGGATCATTGCACGTCGAGCGACGCACGCGGTCCTGAGACGACATCCTGAAAAGAAATCGCAGCCCTGAAACCGAGACTGCTGCAGCACGACGTGCGAAGACTGAGGAAGGGCAAAGCCAGGGGAACAGGCCCACAGCGGGCAGCAGGAGCAGGTGCTGAGGTGGGTCGGAGGTGCAGGGCGTGAGAGAGAAGCCTCAGAGAAGGACGAATGTATTGGATCCAACATCGGAGTAGAGTCGAAGTGAGACGGGGGGGGGCACTAGGGGAGCAACTCAAGATCACGACTCTCACACCTGTGATGCATCCAATGGTGCTGCAAGCGGACCCTAGGAACAATGAGGATCAGGCCCCGCAGGAGCCATCGGAGTTCTTGTTAACATATTTATTATTGTCATAAAAAGGGCACACGAGGACGGACCCCAACATGTAAGATAGACCCAGAACGTGCACGCCCCCATTCCCACCTTCGGCGAGCGCCCGCAACTGCGCCGACGACAGCCACTCCTGGGGCAGCTGGCCTTGCGACGACATGGCTGCGAAGCGAACCGCGGAAGCAGCCTGCCGCGGTCACCAGAGCCGAGGAAACAGCGGGCGGCAACAGGCAATGACATCGGCACAGTCAAAAGGCACACTGTGAATGAGATTCAGGGTCAAAACGAGAACAAGGATGCAAGGGGACGCGGGCTGCGTTGGGTGCCCGAACGCCGATGAAGCAAGGACGCAAAGGCACCATGGCGAATGATGGATTGTCCAAGGCGCACCGCTGGATTATGCAAGGAAAAATCAAGAACACCTGCATAGCATAACAAGAGCTCAATAGAAACACCCATCAGCTGCGTCGGTGAACATCCACCAGCCCGCGCAAGCGAGCTTACCAGGCGTCGCGCAGCAACTCTGTTCATATTTGTCATGTGCTGCTGGAAAACAATGAAAATTTAAGGTGATAATAGGAAACTGCACAAATTTACGATGATCATAAAATTTAAGTTGAAAGTGACGATTTAAGAATAATCTTAAATTTTATCATTTTTTTTGCAACTTAAATTTTAAGGTTAAAGAACCTCTGGGACTGCAGCAGCCAAGCGACCGAGAACACATTGAAGCTGTTGCCCAGTAGGAAGGACCTGGCGTCGTCGCTATCCTGCTGGTTCGAGCCCTTCGTGGCTACAGCCGTGTAACGCACGTCGAATCCCATAATCCTCTCCCGCTCGGAGCTCGAAGGGACTCGCAAGGATCCGTCGCTGTCCTGCAAGAGGTTTTTCTCTTCGTAGAGCGCAACATGGTAGCGATACGAATCCGACTGCCAGCGAGCGAGCGCCTCGGGCGAAGCACTCTTCACCCCGCGCGGCGCTGAAGGGTAGCCTCGCTGAGGCCTGCTGCACACGAGGGTGGGGTAAGGCCCAGGCTCGCCCAGCCAGCGCGCGCCAGGATCCCGCCAATCGAAATTCAACAGGGGCGGCTCACTGCAGCTGACGACGAACATATCCTCGCGCTCCTGGAGGACCAGCGGCGGGGTCGGGCGGACGCTCCAGCTCAGCCAATACAGCCGCGGCCTCCTGCAGGGCACCAGGGCCGAGGTACACAGAAACACGGGCTTGACGCCGAGGGCCTGGCTCATGCCACGCAGGCTGCTGGACGTCATGCCCGCGACGTTCTCCACGAACCACCTGAAACTCGCCCCGAAAGCGTCTGACAGCAGCCCGAAGATGCGCGGCACCTCGAAGAAGACCGAAGACTTCGGGTCGGCCAGGCCTCGCCCAGCAGCGTTTAGCCCCGTGAGCCCCTGGCACGGGCTGCCTGCGCCCGCGACCACAAGGTCGACCTCGGACTGGTAGGCGATCCTCAAATCCTCCACCGTCTGGGCGGTCACGGTCCTGACGTCCCCCCAGTCGATGGCGCCTGGCCACCTGAGCCGTACGACCCTCCTGGCCTTGGCGTCCGTCTCGGCGCTCACGTACCCGACGATGCGCACGGGCAGGCGCGAGAGCGCGACCGCCAACCCGCCGATGCCGTCGAACAGCCCGATGCAGAGGACCCTGAGGACTCGGGCGACGATGGCCCGTGGGATCCGCGGATTGCTGCGAGTCCAGGGCGCCCGCGGATCGACTGGCAGGCCGAGGACCCTCGCCCCCGCGCCCAGCTGAGCGCCAGGCTCGCCGGCGGCGAGGATGGTCGCCTCCGCCTGCTCATGGAGGCCCGTCGACACGCAGACTCCGCCCCCGAACTCGGACGCGTCTGAACACGACGCCATCCCTTCGAGGCGGCTCCTCAACGAAGTAGCGGCGAGCGGGACCACGAGGAGCGCCGTCATCAGCTCCTCCCTCATCTCCCGCGTCAGGTAGACCTGCGCCCGCGGCTCTGAAAGCCTCCACACTGCATTCAAGATGCTGAGCAAGGGCCGTCGGAACTCGAAAACCCTGACAAGGCGGCCGAGCACAGTCATGGCCAGCCTCCACGGGACCAAGTCCAGGCCGAGCGTCGCGATGGCGAGACCGCAGGCGGACAACGCCTTGCTGAGGGGGGCCCCGATCCGCCCCGTGACGCCGTCAACGGAAGCCCCCATCCTCTCAACGCGAAGCTGGCGGAGGTGCGCCTTGTCGGAGGAGATCGCCACGTGCGCACGCCCGTAGCTGGCACGGGCCGCGGCCTGCAACTCTGCCTGGCTACCAAGAAGCTCTAGCGCCGCGGCCTCCTCGATGATCTCGGGGGCGTCGAAGTCGTCGATGTATACCTGCCACCAAGATGCAAGGACGGGACCCTGCTTAGCAAAAGCGAGCGGCCGCACCGTGTCCTTCCGCCACTCTGCCTCTGGCGGTAGGCCCGCTCCAAGCGGGGGCGGAAGCCGACACAATCGCCGATGTATGTGCTGGAACAGCGGCACGGCGAGCATCCAACCCATCGAGATGACAGCTGAGGCGACGAAGACCCGCGGCCCCGCGCGCCCAAACAGGTCGCCGCGCAGCGCCTTGCCCACCGCCATGTGAGCATGCCAGCAGCGCGGGATCCGCCACACAAAGAAGGCCCCCTTCTGGTCATCGCCAGACCACAGCAGCAGGGAGCCCTCGGGCAGGTGAAGGGTCGTCCACCCCGTCGACGCCGCGAGTGTAGACGCCTCACCGACGAACGGCTTGAGGAGCGAGTTGCCTGGGACCATGTTGAGGATGAGCCTGGTGACCCGCTCGGCCCCTGGCCCAGGCGCTCCCTTCTTCTCGACTGCGAAGAGGCCGTTGAGGAGCGGAGCGCCCCGCACCTGGAACACCTCATGCGGCTCAAGCACCGTAAAGATGCCCAACTTCACCAAGTGCACCGCGAGGGCCTCCCAGTCGCTGTCAGAGATGACGTTGACCCGCGCCCTCGGGAGCGGGTTGGGCCACTCGGCCTCGGGCTTCAGCGCCACCGAGGGGTCGTTCAGCCAGGCGCCGATGTCCGCATCCACGAACTCGCACGCGTCCAAGGCGCCTGCGTGCTCGGGCTGCGGCAGGCCCGGCTTCAGCTCCGCGAGCACGCACGGGAGTGCCTTGACCGTGGGCTGCCCGCTGTAGTCGATGGCCGCGTGCTGGAGGGCGGACGACAGCGCGGGCACCTCCACGCTCGCGAAGGGGTCCTCCGCAAAGACCTCGGCCCGCGACAGGAGGTGCGCCATGGCCTGCCGCTGCGCCAGCGTGAGGGACCCCTCGTGCTGCCAGGTGGCGGTCGCCCGCCCGCAGTACATGCGGTTCAGGCCGAGCACCTCCATGTAAAGCCAGCACTCCACCATGACGGACCTGGCCACTCCTGCGAGACGGCACCTGCTGCTGCGAGGGCCGCATCGGCTGCGAATCCATCGCCTCGCCAGGGAGAGAGAGGGCAGGGGCAGCGGGAGGACGTCACGTCCCCGCACCCCGCTCCCCCGCCTTGTGGACGTACGCATCGTGAACTCCCTAGCGAAGGCGCCCAGACCCCCAGGGTCCGTGATGGTAAGGCCCAGCAGCGTGACCGACAAGTCCACGGCAGTGAGGCTCGACCCAAAGCCGACCGTGACCACGCGCTGCCAGTCATGGAAGTCCGAAGTGGTGAACGAGTCCTCGCCTGGAGGGGGGCTCGGAGGGGCCTCGGCCGCGCCGACTAGGCCATCGGCCGCTGCGCTGCCCCCAGAGGCGCCCGCGCAGGCCAGGCGCCCCCCAAGAGCGCTTGCTGCGGGCGGCGAGGCGACCGCTACCGCAGCGTCGGCACGAGGCTCCGCAGGCGGGCATCGTACGCCTTGACCGTCTCGCCAGCCTTCTTCGGGTACTTCGCCTTGGCGTCCTTCCAGGGCCGCGTCAACACGACCGCACAGGCTGGGGCTGCCGACCTGTCGGCCAGCATGCGGTCGGCCTCCGCGGAGCCCGCGGCCGCTGGCTGCCTCTGCGCCGGGGCCTGCGCTACGGCAGGGGGCATCCCCCCTGCATGGCCAGCAGGGCGAGGGGGCAACGCCGAACCCACCTCGCCCCGGCCGACCTGCTAGCCCTGAGGCTTCTGCCGCAGCCGCGAGGCGAGCTCCTCCAGCTTGAGCTCCCCGTGCTGGATGCTCCTGATCATCTCCTCCTCCTCGTTGCGTAGCGCGAGAGGCTGGTCCCGCGGCGGTATCAGCTCGAGCCACTTCGCCGCCGACCAGCTCCCGTCCCCGACAGCCACCTGGATGGCCTTGAAACGCTGGGCCAGGATGTCGGCCACCGCGGCCGTGCGCCCCTGCAGCAACAGGTCCGGCGCCTCCGCGATCGTCCGTAGCTCGCGGTAGATCTCGCCCCCTATCTCCTTCACAGGGTGCTGCGGCAAGTAGACCGACAGGAGGAACCGAAGGACGATCGGGCCATGCGGATCGACCGACCCGCCGCCGTCCTGCGACCCCAGGAACTCTGCCATCTGCGCCAGGCTCAGCTCCGCGAGTCTGCCTGGGTGCTCGAGGGCCAACCTCCTGCAGTGGGCCCGTCGAGACGCGAGGCCCTTCGGCAGTAAGTCGCCCTCGGCGGTGGCGACACCACCGTCGCCGCCGAAGGACGGGTCGTCGGACGACCTGGACGCGCTCTGCAGCGCCTTGAGGAGGGCCGTCAGCAGCTCCTGCACGGCAGCTCCGCCCTGTCCAGCGGCGGGGGCGGCCGCCTCTGCCCCCTTGGCGTCCTCGGCCGAGGCAACTGCTCCGACCTTCGCCGCCTTCCGCACGCGGTCCTCGAGGACCTCGGCAAGCGACCGCTGCGGTGGCGGCCCGCCCTGCCGCGGGACCTTCGCGGGCGGCTCGTCGTCCAGGGCAGCGACCGCCTCCGCAGCACCCGCGGCGGCCCGCCGCTGCTGCTGAAGCCGCGCGAAGCGGTCCTGCGCTGCCTCCAGCTTCCCGCGGAGGCTGGCACGGCGGCTGCCCCCATCCGCCTCGACAACGTCGCCGCTCCAGAGCTCGTCCAGCCCTGGCTGCTCCGACGCAGCCGGCCTCCTGGCTGGCGCCTCCGCCGGCACCCCTCCAGCGAGCCGCGGCCCGAAGAGGTCGGCGGGCCAGACCGCGTCTGGGTTGTCCGAGAGGAACGCCGCAAAGACCTCCCGCAGCTCGTCGGCCGAGACGGGGGTCGCGTCTGTGATGTGCACCAGCTCTGAGCAGCCCCGCGGCGGCTGGACCTGGCACGGCTGCGTCCGGCATACATGGACGAGGGGCCGCGCAGTCACAGCCCCGCGCTCGCCTGGGTTCGACGCCCACCAGTCCCAGTACGGGTCGTCTGAGAAAAGGAACCTCGGCCTGGCGTACGTCTCGACTCCGACCGAGAGGCGAAGGGCGACCCACGTGAAGCGGCACTGGACGTCGCCCTGGGCATTGTAGCCAGTCGACGAATACGCCTGGCCTTCGACGAGCCGCAGCTCCTCGGCGGGGACAGGAGGCAGTCCACCGCCCTCCCCGTCCAGCTCGTCGCCCGACGGGGTGTACAGCTGCGCGCTCCCGTCCAGCTCCTCGTCCTGATCTCCGGCCATGAGAGGGCACTTGCGCTCCCAGCGCCGTCGCTCTCCTGGGAGTCCCCACCCCGACCTGGGGCGGACCAGGTCGGAGCCGGAGGAAGCAGACGAGGACCTCGGGCGAGCACCAATGCAGTGAGGTGTCGGCTCGCCCGAGGCCCCCCAAACCCTGCAAGCCTTGGAAAGAGGCTACGGAAGGAGACGGCGTTCAACGATGCCCCCAAACAGTATTGCCTTACACAAGCGTAAACGGTCATATATATATATATATATATATATATATATATATATAACTCCGCCCTGTCGCACCCCGAGGCCGGTCGAAAGGGCGGACCGGGCTTTTCGCGGCCGAGGCTTCCTCGCCACTTGGGAAGCTGAAGCTTCGCGGATAGAAGGCGGGCGGTGTTCAAAATGCGGTTCTCGCCATAGCGCCGCGCACATGCGTCTCCATAGTCCGCCCGAGTTGAATGGAGGGGGGGCGGGCCGTTTTCAGAATGCAGCTCTCGCCTCAGCGCCGCGCACATTCGCCTCAAAAGTTTGCCAGAGCTTCGCGGATGGAGGGCGGTCCGTTTTCAAAATGTGGCTCTCGCCTCTGCGCCGCGCACATTCGTCCTAAGGTTTGCAGCAATTTCAAAGCTTTTCATGGTTAGCGTCCGCTTAGGTTCTAGCGCAGACCGGGGCAGCAGCTCAACATCGGACGGGTCACGGTCAAATCTCGAAGCCCAGAATTGCCACACATCGCCAAAGCGAAGCCCCCTCTCCATCACGTCATGCACATTATACTCCCCCTGCTCATTCCTCTCTTTTTATCCTCCCAATTCTCATCATTATACCTCCTCCCACTTTTCTCAATCTCCTCTTCCTCCCCCTCTCTCCCCAGTCTTCATCCTCCACCACTCCCTTACTAAACTTGTTCACATCCAGCCCTCTTGTTCCTCAACCTCTGTCACCTTCTCCGCCCTCCTCACATCCTCACATGTGTTCCTCAGGGCTGAACCGAAACGGTGTTTCTCGTTGTCGTTGTGTGTTCGTTTTCCCTCGTTTTGCCTTCAATCTGCCTTTACCGCAAAACGAAATCGAAACGAAAAAGGCCCACGAAATCGCCAAAACATCGTTTAGGTCCACCCGTAGTGTTCCTCTCTCTTTCTCTTTCTCTTTCTCTTTCTCTCTCGCTTTCTCTCTCTCTCTCTCTCTCATTATATCTCTCTCTCTCTCTCGCTCTCTCTCTCTCTCTCTTTCTCTCTTTGGTCTCCTCATCCTCAGCATCGCCATCGGGGTATTGATCCCGCGAGGCGACGGATTGGAGCAGAGATAGGAGAGGAGTCGGATAGGCTCCCCTCCCTTCCCTCTCTCTTGTGCATCCACCCACATGCTGCATTCCTCCCTCCACATGCCGAGCGTCAGAACGCACTGTGCGCTCGCTCCTGTTCGAGCGGGAAGAATTAAAGTGATGAGGGCAATCCCGCGGAACTTCGGGGCTAGCCTCGGATGACTGGGGGCCGTTACGTGGAACCTTCGAACTGTTCGGGATCGGTGTGGGCGAATTCGCCGGCCCAACGGGCCAGAGGCGTGCTAAGATCTCCGGTAACTGCTCAACAATATTTCTAGTTCGCGCGCGCGGGGCGGGCCCTGGGGGTCCCCGGACGAAAAGTACCCCGGCAAGGTCCCGGCAGACTCCCGGCAAGGTCCCGGCAGACTCCCGGCAGACTCCCGGTCCCTCCCTTTTCGGAGCCCAGGAGGGCTCCAAACGGTCCAAGAGAGGCCCGAGAAGCCCTCCAGACGGTCCAAGAGAGCCGGGAGACGCCGAAATATCACTCCCAAACGCCTGCGATGGCCTCAAGACGGCCCAACAGGCCTTCAAGACGCCCCAAGAGGTCCCTAAGCGGCGCCCCAAGAGGGCTCCCACAAGCAAAAATCGTCCCATTCCCTTGGGAAAACGTGCATTTTTAACATATCCGCCTCTTCGTCTTTCACACCTTTCAAGGCGGTCCAAGAGGCCCCCAAGATCACCCCAAGACGGCCCGAGAGACCCTCAAGACCGCTCAAAGACGGCCCAAGAGCGCTCCAAGAAGGCCCAAGAAACCCTCAAGAACTATCTTTCGGAGCCCTGGAGGGCTCCAAATCGGTCCAAGAGGGGCCCGAGAAGCCCTCCAGACGGTCCAAGAGAGCCGGGAGACGCCGAAATATCACTCCCAAACGCCTACGATGGCCTCAAGACGGCCCAACAGGCCTTCAAGACGCCCCAAGAGGTCCCTAAGAGGTCCTAAGCGGCGTCCCAAGAGGGCTCCCACAAGCAAAAATCGTCCCATTCCCTGGGAAAACGTGCATTTTTAACATATCCGCCTCTTCGTCTTTCACACCTTTCAAGGCGGTCCAAGAGGCCCCCAAGATCACCCCAAGACGGCCCGAGAGACCCTCAAGACCGCTCAAAGACGGCCCAAGAGCGCTCCAAGAAGGCCCAAGAAACCCTCAAGAACTCTTTTTCGGAGCCCAGGAAGGGCTCCAAATCGGTCCAAGAGGGCCCGAGAAGCCCTCCAGACGGTCCAAGAGAGCCGGGAGACGCCGAAATATCACCCCCAAGCGCCTACGATGGCCTCAAGACGGCCCAACAGGCCTTCAAGACGCCCAAGAGGTCCCTGAGCGGCGCCCCAAGAGGGCTCCCACAAGGAAAAATCGTCTCATTCCCTTAGGAAAGCGTGCATTGTTAACATATCCGCCTCTTCGTCTTTCACACCTTTCAAGGCGGTCCAAGAGGCCCCCAAGATCACCCCAAGACGGCCCGAGAGACCCTCAAGACCGCTCACAGACGGCCCAAGAGCGCTCCAAGAAGGCCCAAGAAACCCTCAAGACGGTCCAAGAGTCCCCAAGACGGCCCCATGATTGAGGTCCACAGGGGCAACCTGAACGGAAATTTTGAGCCTCCCGCCCAAACACGCCCCCGAAATGCCCCTACAAGCCCCCAAGTAGCCCCACGAAGCCCCCAAGAGAGCCCCAAGAGGCCCCCAACAGGCCGCAAGAAAGCCCCCAAGAGGCCCCCAAGAGACCCCCAGGAAGCTCCCAGGAGGCCCCCAAGAAGCCAGGCAGACCCCCCCAAGAGACCACCAAGAGGGCCCACCCAGAGCCATCCACGAGGCCTCCCAAAGTTCCCAAGAAGCTCCCACGAACCTTCCAAGGGCTCCCAAGACCCCGCGATGGCACAATACGGGCCGGCGGAATGAGCGAAGCGATTCAATAATCAAACTGAAGTGGTCAAGTTTGGGAAGCAAGGTTACTGGAGGGCCTTTGGGGGAAGTCTCTTGGGGCGTCCTGGGGGCCCCTTGGGACCGAGGGGTCGAAATGTCCGCTCGCCCTTCCATCTGGGCCCCCTCTTGGAGCCGTCTTGGGGGCCTCTCGGGCCGTCTTGGACGCTTCTTGGAGCCCTCGTGGGCCGTTTTGGGGCTCTCTCGGAAGCTTTCTGGGCCGTCTTGGACCGATCTTGGGGCATCTTGGGCTGCCTTTGAGCGTCGCGGAGCCAACGAGGCGATAACACCAAAATCCTTCAACAACCTGCGGCAATAACTGATTCTAGCTTCTTCGGCCCCTCTTGAGACTGCTCTTGTCGGCAACGTGGTGCGTCTTGGAGCTTTCTTGCGCCGTCTTGGGACCATCTTGGGTGTCTGAAAGCGATCATTCGGCGACTGGGGGGCCCTTTTGGACCGTCTTGGGGCTCTCCTGAGCTGTCTGGGAGCTCTCTGGGAGCCCTCTTGGGCCGTCTTGAGGCCTCGTGGAGGCCCAGGGGAGGGGCGATACACCAGTCGCCAGTCGAGGCTCCAGCCCAGAATGCCCTGGCCCTGTTCTCCCATTATATGTGTGTATGTATGTGTGTATATATGCACACATCGTGCCCATTGAGGGGCCTCGTGTGCCCCCCCAGGGCCTGTTGGGGACCCGTCGGGGTGCCTCTTGGGCTACGCCGAGCCCCACTTCGGGCAGTCTTGCGCCGTACTGGTGCCCTCTTGGACTGCCTTTGGCCCCTCTGGGGTCGTGCTGCAACGCTCTTGGACCCGTCGGGGTACCTCTTGGGCTGCGCCGAGTCCTACTTCGGGCAGTCTTGCGCCGTACTGGTGCCCTCTTGGACTGCCTTTTGGCCCCTCTGGGGTCGCGTTGCAACGCTCTTGGGGCCGTCTCTGGTCCCCTTCGGGGGGCATCAGTGGGCCCCTCTTGGCCACGAGAGCATGGAACGCAGAACAGCACCGCAAGCCCGTATGAGTCGTTGAGCCGTTTCGTCGCTTCTCGAGGGCCTCCCCGACTGCACATGTCTTCGAGACCTCCTTGGGGCTCATGAGCACCATCTGGGGTGTCCATCGATGTCTTCTCTGGGGGCGCTGGGGCCCTCTGACACCGCGTGGGGGCCGTCGGGAGCCGTCCTGGGACACTCCGTCGGCAGTGTCGGTGGCGAACGGCGCGCCTCGCGGAGGAAAAGAGTCGCGCCGACATCCCACTGGGGGAGGCGGCAACACCTGGGCCCATTACTCCGGGATCGAGCCAATTGAATGACCCAGACCATGACCCTGCAGGAAGTTGAATCATGAGCCGGCGTCCTGGATGGGACTTGAGAGCGCAAGCCCACGCTAATGGCGCATACCGCCCAGCCGCCATGCCGCGACATTCATGCGTCACCCTACGTTTTGCTCCCATGCTGTAATCACAATGTGATCTCTTTGGGGCGCTCCGCAGGAGCACCCGCGCAAGCGTCCAGGCTCTGAGACCGCACAAGGGCGCGGGTTCGGCGCAGACGCTTGCGAAACGCATCAGCTCTCCAGCTCCACTTGGCGAGTGCTTGGTCCGCTGGGCAGGCGTGACCTGATCAGCTCCAGAAGGCTAGAAACTCAAACCATCTCAGCCGGAAAGGGGATCATGAAATGTGAGATCGGCTTTGCATCGTGAGCGGCACAATGGATCATGACGCATCATAAAAAAGTCGACCTCGAAGGAAAAGTATCTACATGGCCTCAGTACTCTGCTCAGGACGAGCCCTCACAGAGCCCCGTGCCTTGTTTGGCGAAACCCTGCTTCTCGGCAAGGCCTTCGAACACTGGCTTCCAATAATCCTCATATGTCTCCCCGTTCTGGACCCAGCCTGGACCAGGGCTAGTCTTGCAAACGTATTCCTTCCCACCTTCTCTCATGGTGAGCATCCATGCGCCACCCGCCGTAAGCTTGTCGGCCTCATCCCAGGTGGTGGCACGATTAACGACTTGAGCAACACCATAATTGACGCCACTGCTGGACTTCACATCGCCATCGTGATCGACGTGGTAGAGGGCATAACCCCTCTCGCAGATTCGCTTGTCATATGCATCAAAGCCCTGCTTATCCGCAAGACTTGCGAACACTGGCTTCCAATAGTCCTCATATGTCTCTCCGTTCTGGACCCAGCCTGGACCAGGGCTAGTCTTGCAAACGTACTCCTTCCCGCTCTCATACTTGGTGAGCATCCATGCGCCACCCGCCGTAAGCTTGTCGGCCTCATCCCAGGTGGTGGCACGATTAACGACTTGAGCGACACCATAGTTGACGCCACTGCTAGACTTTACATCGCCATCGTGGTTGATGTGGTAGAGAGCATACGCTTCACCGCTCTTGCCGTCCTTCACGATCGCATTCGGCACGTCAGCCTGCGCGAGGCTTGTAGGCTTTGCAAGAAAGCCGATCGCCGATACTGCGCCTGTCGATGCCAGCGCAGTCACGGCGAGAAACGCCCTGCACGCCTTGGCTTTCGAAGGTGGCACGGGGGCCTCTGACGCAGATTCCTCGCTGGCCTCCTCAAGCCGGTGACTGTCGCCTGAGGTCATGTCTGCGAACGGCGGATGCACAATGATAGAATTGGGGCTGCTCTGCGGCGGCCTCGAGTCTGAAGGCAGAGTGGCTTCAGCCGCAACGGCTACGGACGATCGAGCGTGATCATCTCGGGGTCGCCTTGGGGGACCCTGGACCACATCTTGGCGCAAGCTGGTGCCCATGGCTTCCGCAGTACCATGGGGCCCGCGGTGGCTCGCCGCGGGCGTCTTCGAGAGTCAAGGCCTCATCTACGGTTGGCCCTGCAGAGATCGCGTGCGGCATAGGTCTCCGAAGAGCACGCTGTGACTGTGAGGCGATCCGCCCGCGAGGGCCCTCACTGTGCACGCCGCCTCTCGGCCATGGCTTCTTCGGCGCACGCTGTCCACGAGGTGGGGGGGGGGTCTGGCCATCGCTCGGACGTCCATTTCCTGTGCTTTTTTGCGGCTTCGTGCGTGGTTTTTTCGCCAGATGATCAGGGATGCTCCTCGATGGTGCTCGCCGAAGACAAAACGCACACGCCCGAGCGATGCCAAGTGGCCTCTTCGGCGCACGCCCTCCACAAGGTGGGAGGGGGGGGGCAGCGCATGACGAGCGGGCCGGCGGCGCCACGTCGCACGCCGTCTCTGCCACGCCGGCCTTAGGACCCACGAGCCCTGGGGACCCTCCCCGCCTTGGAGGAGGCCGAGGATCCGCTGAGGCACCCCGAAGAGGGAGCCACAAGAGGAGGCCGATAGGGAGCCACAGCCGAACCCTACCCCTGCCCCCCACGATTTCCGAGGGGGAGGGTGGGGCTCACTTCGCTCGGGAGCTCCCGAGCGAAGTGGAGCTCCCGAGCGAAGTGAACCCCACACTCCCCCTCAGAAATCGTGGGGGGTAGGGGTAGGGTTCGCATGCGGCCCCCGAGCCGAGGATCCGCTGAGGCACCCCGAAGAGCCTCCGAGGGCCCTGGAGGGTTAGACCGTGCTCTCACCAGTCCTCCTACACCACAGGGGGGCCAGGAACCCGAAGGGCCAAGTCCTGAGCGGGGAGATGCGCGGCAACGCAGGCCGCAGGATCCTGGCCGCCGACAGCCGGGGACAATCACAAGCGGCGAACGTGTCCATACCCATGCCCCGACTCCGGATCCGCCGAACTTTGGTTGATTCTCCGACTTGCGAAAACTGTGCCGGATTTGCACCCCCGAGCGATGCGAACAAATTGGGCGAGAATCTCCGCCTCGGAAGAGGAGGACTGATATTTCCGCAAAAGCATTGCAACCGCCACGCAGTGAACGTATAGGACCCCTGCCAGTGGCAAGGGTCGGCCCTGCACACCTCAGACTGGGGCACCAACCATGGACAACACACATCCCGCCCCACTCCCACGCCCCGTGCACCCCGAGCCTACAGTGCGGACGCGGCCGCAAGAAACCTTCGCAGGAGGCACAGCCTTAAAAACCCGCGCGCGAGATGCACTTGGGGAGGGAGCCATGGCACCCTGAACGCAGCAGCTCCTTCAACGGCCGCTGGAAGTCACCGCGCAGCGCGCGGAGCGAAAAAGCCCAGGGAACCTGGACGAAAAGCAGATGGTTTCTTGCTGCCCGTCCCCACTGTAGCGTCACGCTGCTGTCGACTGGCATGCCGCTGAGATGCTTCAGAGGATGCATTTTGTACTCTTGGCCTCGGAGGGCCGCAGCGCACACGATCACCTCCCCGACCATGGCTCCGACTGACCCGGTGCGGCGTCCTTCTGGGTGGCGTCGCCAGCCACGCAGCGGAGGCCTGCGCGTATACAGCCTGCGGGCGAGCAGAGGCTGCGGACTGCAGGGCGCACTGAATCGCTAGCGGTGCTGGCTGGGCTCGAGTTGCTTCAGGCCCCGAGCTGGCAGCTGGCAGTAGAGGGCCCCGAACCAGCAAATTTGAACACATAGCAGCTGGATCTCACGGACCTGGAGAAACCATGCATCGCCCCCCCCTGGAAGGCTCAGTCACCATCATCGTCATCATCATTACCGTCGTCATCGTCGTCGTCGTCGATGTCGTCGTGGTCGTCGTCGTCATCGTCGTCATTATATATCATCACCATCGTCACCACCACCATCACCACCACCATCACCACCACCACCACCACCATCATCTCACCACCACCACCACCACCACCACCACCATCATCATCATCATCATCATCATCATCATCATCATCATCATCATCATCATCATCAGCACCATCATCATCCTCTTCTAAATGACCTTCGTGAGTCACACCCAAGCCTCATGCACTGATGACGCGAAGGAACTGCCATCCACTGGACAGACCGCGGTGCGCAGTGATGCAGCAGCTCTCCGAGACGAAGCCGATGCCCACGCGAGATGCGCACGCGAACAAGGGGCACGCCCGAGAGCCAGCTCCGCAGCCAGACAGAGGGAGAAGCGAGGGGGACTCGGGCCTCGGCAAGCAATGGCCAACGGGCCCCGTGCTTGAGCGCGTCGTGTCGCAGACGCCAGGCGGAAGCGACAATAATCCTTCTAGCGAAGACAGATGAAAAAAGAGTGAGAGGGAGAGAGGCAGAGAGAGAGAGAGAAAGAGAGAGAGAGAGAGAGAAAAAGAGAGAAAGAGAGAGATAGAAAAAGAGAAAGAGAGAGAGAGAGAGCATCAAGTGTCAAGACTGCGGTGGAACATGCACGTCATGGGAGAACTACGCTCCAGCATGCTCTCAGGATGATCGCACGAGGCACCTGTAAGCCATCTCGGCATGGTGCAGCCATGAGTCATGGCGGGCAAGTCGGACAATGACTCGTTGAAGGGAAAGTGGATAGGAGATAGTTCTGCGGCAGCTGCCCGATAGACGCGGCTGCGAATCAGCAGATGGCTGCTGGGAGGTTACTCATTTTTTCTTCTCCTTCCACCTCGGCAGCGGGTGTCCAAGAGGGGGGGGTGCAAATCATGACCGGCGGCGCATGTGCGCGGCCCAGCGGGGGGGCCAGGGACGTAATGAAATAAGAAGAGGCGCCATGAAATGTGGGGAAACATCATGGCCCACGCCATGATATCCCCCCCCCGAGTCACCACCCCCCTCTCTGCCGCCCCCGAGCTCTGTGCTTGCCTGGAGACGCCGGCGCGCTGTCGCGCCGGAGCTGGGCGCGGGGGCGCCGTCGGCACCCTGGGAAGATGCACTGCCAGAGAGTCCACAAAACGCTTCCATGCTCGAAACTCCTCCTCCTCCTCCTCCTTCTCCTCCTTCTCCGCCTCCTCCTACTCCTCCCCCTCCTGATCCTCCTCCTCCTTCTCCTCCTCAGCCTGATGCTCATCGTGCAGCTTCTGCTCACCCACAAGCCGATGCCCAACAGCTGACGACAGAGCAGGCGTGCAGCCATCGAGGAGAAGACGGCCGATGTCTTCGAAAAAGCCTCACCTTCGGACGCGTCCGGTAACGGTGGCCACGATTCGCTGAACTTCCCCCTGGTCTGTTCCAGCTGCTCGTGCCGGAACCACCCAGTGGCCGGGTCCAACGAATTCACCATCTGGCTGCGGTTACTCTTAGGTCGGGCGTGTCCCCCTACGGGGGGCAGCTGGGCGAAAAATCAAAAATACCCCACAGATGCCCCAAACTGGTCAAACATGCTCAAAATCGTCCCCAGACTATTTTTCTACAATTTTTGACTGTTCCCCCTGCAGAGGGACAGGCCCGACTTACGGTTACTCCGTCGCAGATCGGCAGTAAGCAAATGGCGGCGACCCCGTCGGCAAAGAGAACATGATTGCAGTGAGGGCTCCGGTGTGCTCACGAGGCAGCCAGCTTCGGCGGGAGGAGCGGCGAGGCAACCGTGTCCGCGGCCATCGGCGATAGCCTGCACTGTCTCACTCACGCCTCGGGCCGCGGTCCACTCGGTGGGCCCGAAGCGGCCTTTTTAAGCGACGGAGGTCCTCTCTGCGGGCCCAATGCAAGGTTGTCTGGCGCAACGCGGGACATTTCCCCTGCACAGCCGTATCCTCCTCCTTCCCCCTTCCCCTTCTACTGCTCTTCATCGTTTCCTGCTCGGCCCTCCCGTCCTCCCTAAAGCCCTCCTCGCTCTCCTTCTCCTCCTACTGTGCTCCTCACTGTCCTTCTACGCTCTACGCCTCTTCCCCCTCCCCTCCACTCACTCCTGCTCCTCCTCCCTTTTGCAACTGACAGGGCATCATCGGCATGCATGGGTTAGGGTACCGACCCATCAGCAGACAGTGAGAGCCTTGTAGGCAATATGGTTGGAGGAGGACGACGACGAAGAAGAGTAACAATTGCATATAAATATCAGAACGATGGGCGGGCTGGCTGGCTACGACTGCAAACCATGAGAAAGACACGAATTCACGAACTTCTCTAATCCCTGCTCCCACCTCGCTCCTCGCCATTCTGCTCCTCCCGGGCCCTGGAGCTAACCAAGAAATACCGGTACCGCTACTCCCTGGACCTCTCCTGGGGTGCGTTCTGACCAGAATTTCAAAGCGAATCCAGATGCAATTGCGTCGAATGCTCGCCCCGTCCGCATTGCGACATCTGCTGCCAAAATATACCCCTGACCCAGGCCGGAGGAAAAAGCGGGGAAACGAACGAGGGAAGGGTAGCGGTATCGGTACTTGTTCCTCCTCTGACTCATACCTCTTTCACCAAATCTTTTTTGTATCCCTCCCTGCCAGGAGCAAAAGAGGGTGGCGCGCTTGGGCACAGCACGCAGCTGAAGGGGCAGCCGGTGAGCTCCGTCCCCGAGTCGGTCATGCAGAGCGGACACGCTTGCCCGCTGGCGCAGCAGGAGCAAGGGAGATGGATAGAGAGAAATAAAGAGCGGGCGAGAAAGACAGAGACAGAGGGCAGTAGCACAGGAAAAGACAGAAGGAAATGGCGGGTCCGGAGGAAGGGGGCGGGAGACGAGGAGAGAGGCTGCCATGGGCCATGATGAGGAGACGGCAGTGGCAGAGGAAGCGAAAAGGAGGAGGCGAAGATGGACGAGGCGGAGGGGGCGGATAGAGGAGGAGGAGGAGGAGGAGGAGGAGGAGGAGGAGGAGGAGGAGGAGGAGGAGGAGGCGGAGGAGGAGGAGGAGGAGGAGGAATAGAGAGAGAAGGAGGAGAAGGAGGAGCTCGATGACGGAAGAAAGAAATAAGGAGGAGGAAAGTAATGAGACAACAAATCACAGCACGAACGCGATAACGATGCTGTAGAGGAGGGCGACCTCTTCAGACATTGGGCTGCCGATCGCTCCCTGCGCCTCCGAGCGAGCTGAGGCCCCAGGGGCTCGGGCCCGGCGCGCGCGGGAAAGAGCAAGGGGACCAGCCGAGGAGCGAGAGGGGCGGGCGTCAGGCGCCCCTCTTGCCCTTCCCGC